AAGGCTGAAGGACACATGGACAGTATTTTAAGACAATCTGGAAATGGCACACATCACCTTCTCTCAGACTCACTTGTGAAAATTTAAGTCACATTGTCACTGGATGTGCATCCTGGGGAAATTCCTTCCACATTCTTGGTGTCCTGAACAAAGAATCGGAAAGGCACAGAGAAAAGGTGGTAGAAAAAAATACAGTGGATGGGTGAACAGATTCACAGCAGCCCTGGGGTTAAGGGAAAGGGGACTTTTCTTGAGACAGTGTCTTAATTACTTTTTGTCATTGCTGAGACAAAATAGTTGACACTTAGAGTTAAAAGAGGAAAGGTTTATTTGGCTCGTAGTTTGTAGAGATTTCAGTCCACATGCAGCTAGTTTCAAGGCAGGGCAGCATGGTAGAGGAACATCACAGAGTAGAAACAGTCCATGGCATGCAGGCAGGTGAGAGCGTATTAACCCTGTTTCTGTCCCTTGCATTTTTTGCAGCTACCTGCTACCTGCTTTAGGGTGAGTGTAGCCGTCATGCCCTTCATCCTGGCCAGAACTATACCAAACCAATCAGTAGACTGATTCAGTAATCACACTCCATTGATCCCAGCGCCTCACATTCTGGATCCAGCCATCTCTGAAAAGCACTGCTATGACTGCATGAGGCTTTGGGGAGACATTAGATACAAGCCATAACAGACAGGGTCAGATTATGTATTCTAGGCTGCCTTGAACTGACTGCGTAGCCCAGGCTGGTTTAGAATTTGCAGCGATCCTCCTGTCTCAACCTCTGTAGTGCTGGGATTATAGGCATATGCCATCAAACTTGGCTATGGGGAAGGAGTCTTTTGTATTTGAAATTCCTGGATTGGCTTCTCCTTCATGCAAATAGGTCAATGCGATGTTTGTCCTATGAAAAACTCAGCCGATCTGGTGCTAGATTTAAATTGTTTTATCAAAACATTTGCTCAGTTTCTTGCTAGATGGAAGTGAAGAATTGAAAATAGCACTTTCTTTTTGGTTCTCTGTGCAGTGCTCAGGACTGCAGAGTTGTCCTGTGTCCTGTGTGCTATAAGTGTCCCCTGATCTCTAGAACTTTGACAGATTCCACATCATTGTTTGACTGTTTGCCTCAGTCCTAAATTCCCACCTCAACATCATCATCCTTAACTTAAAAGAGGAATAGAAATTGTGGTCTTTAATGAGGAAACCATCTCTGTATTATTTGTGATGCTACCAATATTTTAATAGGTATTGTGGTTGCATAGCAGCAAAAATCCAGATCTTTCCACTCCTAAGTCTATAGTTCTCAGTATCACATTAGCATTTTGGTGCTCAGATAACATGTACAGAGTCCTCCTGTGTCCAAGCTCACTTCAGACTGACTGTCCAAGTGGTTTTTGTTCTCTTGGTAAAAACAAAACAAAACAAAACAAAACAAAACAAAACAAAACAAAATAAATTACAGATTAGTCAAATAAAAATAAAGAAATAGAAATCATAAACATTATGATGGTTAATCTTGACTGTCAACTTGATGGGCTTCAAAGTCTCCTAACATTAGTATAGTACATTTCTGTGTGTATCTGGGTGGGTCCTGAGGGCATGACCTTGGGGAATACATGGCCTTTGCCTCTTTCTTTGCCATCATCTATAGGGAGATGAACAGTTTTCCTCTGCCAAACCCTTCTGCCATGATGCTTCTAATTTGGAGCCAGCCAACCATGGACTGAAACCTCTGAAACCATGAGCCAAAATAGTCCTACACTCCAGTGTAGTGGCAGTGGCAGAGATGGTTGCAAAGCAAGCAATGAATGTATCCTCAAAGGCTCCAGCCTGGAGTGTCACCTCCTGGTCTCTAAGTGATGCCATCTGTCATGGTTTATGTCTGTGTCCTCCAGGCCTCATGAGTTTGCATTGTGTATTTGTTATTCATTCATTGTCTAGTGCTTGGAATGATGGTGTCAGTGCTCCACCCACATAGGGGTGGAGCCAGATGTGATGTAATGGCAGGAAGAAGGTGTGTCTTGCTCTTTGCTGGTTCCTCCTTGCTGTTTGCAGCCGCCATGAAAGGCGGCCCAACCATGCCCACCTGCCTGGGAGCCAACTGAGTGTGGACTGAAACCTCCAAAAACTGTAAGAAATAAACCTTTCCTTTCCCAACTTTGGGCTTCAGGTATTTTGTCTCAGCAAGGAGTGAAAAATAACTAAGACACCATCTCCTCCCTTGGCTTCTCAAGCCTTTCAAAAACGATTCTAACATACACTTTGGCTAGCAGTATCAAGAATGGCCCAAGGATTAAATCCAAGGCGTGAATCTGGGGTTGCCTATCTAAGTGGCTGGGCTTGAATCGGTGGTGGCCATTTGACCAGTGGAGTGGGTTACAGTTGATCCAGAGAGTGCAATGGCAAAGTAATTAGGTGATGTGTAATTGTGGCTATGACTTTGTAAGGGATGAAAGTTTATTTAAAAAAAATTTTTTTTTCAGCACCAGGGATCAAATCCTTGCACATGCTAAGCAAGTGTCAACCCTGGAGTTATATTCCCACTTCAATACAAAGCCTCATTTTCCTTTCTTGCTATTCTAGGGATTTGAAGGATGGAGTGGAACACTACAGGGTAGCTTCACTCTGCCACCTGCTCTGGTTTTCAGTATTATTTTTCAAAATATGGTTGTTAAGATTAGGTTAAGATTAGTTTAAAAAATCATGATTAAGCCAAGAATGTATGGCAAGCCTTAATCATACTTAAGGGAAGCAGTCATCTGGCTAGCTGTGTCAGTATCTCAAATTTGCATGCTCGCAGAGGCTCAGACCACAGCCCTGGATCTCGGAGGAGATGATCACGTTTAAATGGTTATTTCATTCAGGATAGTAGCTGCTGTCCTGGGAAAGAGCTTGGCCTCAAGGCATGTCTGACGGAAGGTGCTGCAGTCACAGTCTGTGAACCAGCATGGGACAGACCTGCTCTTTCCACATGATGGCCTTTGTGATGGATGGCAGATTTCCCCGAGGCCTCACGAAATGACAGGCTTTCACAACGTCACTGGCTGACAGCCAGACCTAGCATAGTCTCGGTGTGATCTTGAGGCTAAAGTCACTTTGCCTAGTGCAATGCTTAAAGCCTGATGAAACCAGCTGCATGCCCATAGGGGCAGAGGAAAATACTTTTATGCCAACTCGAAGCGACTTTGAAGCATGTGCATGAATCTTCAGGGTTCAGTCTATCAGGAGGGGTGAAAGACATGAGATATTAGAAAACATTTATGTTGTAGTCAGACAGATGCAAGTTCACATCTTGGATCCGTGCCTGGAATAGGTCCCTTATGCTATAAGAAATCTGGGTTCCTTATTTGTAAAAGGGAGGCAATCACTTTGTAGCCCAGATAGTCTCTAAGGGAAGATTGAATACACTCATTCGTTTTTTCACTGATCCTATGGCTGTTGTTACTTAACTTGTACCAGGTCCTGTTTTAGCAAGGAGGGGACACACTGTTTCATAGACAAAGCCCCAGCTCTGCATTCTAGTAAGGAGCAAGAGATACTAACACAAACCAAAATAAGTAATAAAATGGAACCATAAAAACGAAGCAGTGGTGTAACTGAGAGTTGCCATAGTTTCTCTTTTGTTTTCTCCCATGGTGCAATCTGCCCGCTAAACCATGTAGAGCTTCTTTCCATGACCCCTGCCTAAGCCAGTGATCTTTTAAGAGAACCTCCCATCTCCAATCTTTCTGCCTTATCCTGACTTCCCTAGAAATATTTGCATATTAGCAGGAAATCAAAATGATAGACTAGATTTTTACGTCCTTTACTGTGGACACTTAGGCTCTGTGCAGCCCATGGAGAGTGGGTAGATGTGTGTCCAGACTCTGCCTGGAATCATTCTGTTTCCAAATGTCTCAAGAAATGTTGCTGGCACCCAAAACCCCTGTTAGGGTAATCAGAATTTGTGCCTTTGCAAGAATTGGCTCTGATCCCAGTCTTTGAAAATAAAACATGGGTTTGCCAAGAGAGTCCTGGGTGTTGGATGTGGTCACCACAAGCCCAAGCCTTCTACGAACACTGAAGTAGGGGGCAGCTCCTGGTCCAGCGGGCTCCTGCCAGCCCATGCTGGGCTCCTCTGTCTCTGTATCTCTCTCTCTCCCTCTCTCTCTCTCTCACACACACACACTTTCTAAAACTACATCCTGAGATTTACAACCAGAAAAATTTGTAAGGTGGTGTTCTCATATGTAAGTTTTTTGTTTTCTTGGGTTCAAATTACCCATGGGCCATATGAGTGCAGAGTTTAAGACCTCTAAATTCTTTGAACTGGTCAGGCCTCAGGTCACCCATACCTTTGCTCTCAGAATTCATACGCAAAGTCTTTCCTAAGTCTAATATCTGGGCCAGAGAGCAGAGGATGTGTTCTGTTTCTTTCCTAGTGCAACCCCTTGGGAAGGTAGTTCTGCCTGAAATGCTTACTTTCTTTTGTTTTCTCTTTCTTTCTTTTTCTTTTTTCTTTTTTCTTTTCTTTTGTCTTTTTAAGACAGGGGCTCACTATGCAGTTCAGGCTGGCCTTGGGCTCACTTTGTAACCCAGGCTGGTCAAACTTGCAGTGACTCTCCTGCCTCAGCCTCTTGAGTGCTTGGATTACAGGAGTGTATCACCATGCCTGACTTTGCACTCCTTGATTTCTGAATCACACAATCTCATGTGTCATTGTACTCAGTGAGCAGGAGTGTGATGTGATTAGTAGTGTCCCTGACTCGCTAGGAGGTCTCCTGGGTCACGAGTGAACTTTCTGCTCACATTTATCTGGTTTTTGTGTTGTGATCTTTAACCTTGCCCCATCTTCTGTTGTTGTAATAAAAGGAAAAAAATAAAAGCCAAGGTCTGGGAACATGAATGATTTGACTGAAGCTCCACTTGGCTTCCCAAGCCCAAACTGGGTTGCACCATGTTCCCTGGGGTGGAGACCCAAGGCAACTGCCAGGGGCAAGATGCCTGCCCATTGGTTTCTGGACCTCACGGGGCTGGCCAATAAGAAAGGATAGTTGTGAGGTGAGGACTGCCTGCCCCCAAGAGTATCAGGCTGTTGGGGTTAGGACCTCTCCTCACTTCCATCCTGACTGCCGCTGGTGGGTCTGAGTCCATAAGAGAGGGTAAGAGCAGTTCCAAGTTCCAGCCTGGGTAGGGGTGGCTGTCCAGCTCTGGCAGGGATATGCCCAGGGTTTCCTGTCTGTGGCAGCATGGGGATGGATGTGGGCATGACTGAGATGAAGCCTGATGGACATTGGGCTTCTTCTTCAATGCACCAGAGCTCCAAGAAAGAAAGAATTGTTCCTTCTTCTCACAATGCCTAGGATTATCAGGAATTTTCCCCAGCTCAACTGGTGGCAGGGTGCCTACAGAGAAAAAGGGCTGAGTTCAGCCAGATGGAAGGCTTCGTCTATGGAAGGAGTCCAGTGAGAGGGGAAAGGAATCCATGGCTTCTTAGCTTGACCAGGGAGGGCAAAGGAAAGGGTTACAAAAAGAGGCAGTTTGGAAAAAGCCAAGGAGAAGTCTGTTCTTAGACTTGAGTTTAAAATCCAGCTCTATCAACTCAGTGGATATGTATCGAGGATATGCTGGGGGCCAGACACTGAGTTTGTGGGATGCAAGCATGTATGTGAAATTGTAGGTTTAGGGATATCTGTAGGTAGGGGAGGTTTTACAGGGTGATTGAGAGATCCAAATGAGACAGAGAGAGAGAAGGCCAGCATATAGTGGGGGGACTTATGGGAAATCCTACTTTTGAATGACATTTTCTTATGGAAGCGTCGGCTTTGATGAAGCTCAGTCCTGCTTGCTCCAGGGAAGTTGCATTTGTGGCTTCCTGGTGGTTTCCAGTAGAAGCAGAGGTCAGAGTGGGAGGAATTTTAGAAGTCAGGGCAGTGTCATGTGTGTAGGAGGACATGGGTCCCTGGCCTGGAAAGGTTTCTGAATCAAAGGTTTCTGAATCAAATTTCCGAAGGGGCACAGACAATTCCCTCTCCGAAACCATATTAGGAAGAAGGCTAGTTCTGTCCACCTGGCAAGGGGGCTTCATGCTAGTAAGAAGATGCTCAGAGGGGCAGGGTGGGGTCAGCTGGATGCTTACTGTGGAGCAGTAGACAGCAAGCACTTCTTAGGGGACCCTGTGGTGACCCTGGCTTCTGTCCCCAGGAGTCTGATGGAGAGAGAATTATCTTAAAAATGCAGTGGAGGAAGCTCTGTGTCTCTAGCTCCTCCACAGCATGCTCCGTATGTGTGCAGATGCGTGTGTACACCTGTATGGTATGCAGGTGTATGTGTATGGTGTCCGTGTCTGTGTGTGTGTGCATACATGTGTGTTGAGAGTGGGAATGCAGACAGCTCTCCCAAAGATGAGTGAAAGATTTCAGATCATCTTTCTAGCAGCCAGACCAGACTGTGTCCATCCCTGCTTCTGCCATTTGCCATTAGGTTTCACCATGCAAAACTGCCACAATTCCATCATTTTGATTTTTCAAAAATGGCAGTTTTGTATCATCAAACACCGTGGTTGTGTGGTCTTAGGTCAGGCATCTTTGAGGTCCTGGGTCTCTGCTACAGTCCAGTCAAAAGCAGAGGTATGGGAAGATGAACTGAAAAGTTTGAAGTGTTTCATGTGAATTATGCTTCAGAGAATATTAAAAGTTTCCAGGTGTTCTCATCTCACATGATCTCCCTTAGTAGGTTAGAAAGCTGAGCTAAGGAACCTTGTGTAATATTTTTATCTTGGCATTTTTGGGGGCAGTACTGGGAATCGAACTCAGGACCTCGCACTTGTGCTGCACTGCTAAACTGTGTAACAATTTTAGAGGCAGTGATGGAAGGGTAGAGGCTTGGAAGTCAGAACAGGAACCTCTTAGAAGTCATTTTCTCAATCCACTTCCTCATGTCTACAATGAATCTTCTTCCTTATCTTTTGCCTTCCCATTTATCAAAGCAGGGCAGTGGTGAGATGATTTCTGGGGTCCTTTGGATTTGGATTTTGTGTGTTTTTTTTCCTTCCCTGCTGGAGGAGTTGGCACCGAGATTTGTGAACCTCTTCCCCTCACACAGCTCTGTCTCTTGTGGATCCCAGAGGGGACCCAATTCTTGCATTTCACAAGACACTGGTGTTGCTATTGAAATTCTAGCAGGCCAAAGTGGAATTTCTCATACACTGTAATGTGAACATTTCAAAAGGGAGCAAACCATGCTTGTGCAAGGCTTTGGAAGGTCCGTGCGGGCGGGGGCAAGCCACCTTGGGGAGTTCATTTCAGATCTCACCTCCTCCTGCTTTCTTTTGCTGTGCTGGGGCAGAAATTACTGAACCTCTGTGGTCCTTGGATTTCTCTTGGGGCAGCTGAGTCCCACTCCCTGGTGCCGTGTGGGTGAAGTGAGGTTCCAAGGATGGAGCTCCAAAGCGGTGATTCATCTCCGGTCATCCTGAAATATTTGTTTGCTTTTCTTCTCTCATTTATGTGTAGAGTATTTTTATAAGTCTCTCAAATGCTCCTGTATGTTTTCTCCCAATGAGTTCTCAAAACAACACTGTGAAATAGGCAAGGCGGGAACCAACATTCTACATTTATAGGCAAAGAGCGTGAGTTCAGAGAGGTGAACGGTGACGGCTCAGTTCCCGGGAGAGCAGATGGAGCTGAGCTGAGAAGCCAGGTCACTTGTCCCACAATCCGTAGATTTTAGAAATTATTTTCTCTCCTTTCCACGTCCCCGTCCCATGGGGTGGAACACTGGAAGGCAGATGTGTGACCACGATGCTTTTTTCTTCCTGGATTATGTTGAAGGATCTGTCACTGGATTCTAAAAGACCAGAGAGTTTGACTTCCATCTCCTCTTTATTCAGGGCTGGGGTCTTGAAGAGTCCCTTAGCCTCTCTGTCACTCCCCTTCCTCATGTGTAAGGTAGACAGAGTCATAGCCAATGCTTACTGAGCAGTGACACATGGCAGTATCCCAAGCATTGTATCATTTAATCCTTCAGTAAACACACAGGGTTGAAACTCATTAAGGACAAATTATTTATGCCTAAGCATTGTATTAAGATCATAGAGTCATGGTCCTTTCTGCACTCCACACTGCCTCTCAAAATAGTTTAAGAATTAAATGAGATATCCAGTGAGACTTTGTAGACAGTGTTTTACAAAGGTAAAGAATTAGAAGATGTTAGCTCACGATTCATGAAATTTTTCTTTGTAGACCTGAGTTGGTCTTACTTATCACTTACAGTCTTCAGTGCCACTTAATAACATTTTCCCCTGTAGAAATAGAAGGTTTTTCAAAGTCACAGGGTAACAGTTTCTTTATGTGAACAGAGAACAGAAACAGTGCTGAGAGACACTGTGGACAGCAGGCAGCTCTGCGGTGAACGTCAAGGATTTCCAGCTGCCGATTCCCCGCCTCCCGGCACGGTTAGCTTAGGTTAGCCTTGTTTGCTAACCAGAATCTGCTCCTCACATTGGAAACGTCTCTCTGCTCTCTCTCTACTTTTGAGGTTTTCTACCTCCTACCACCCGCGTGGAACCCAGACTATTCCGGTTACGGGAGAAAACTGTCCTTAACACTGACGTTTTAGGGACCGACAATGTTCCTCCGGGTTGGGACAGGAGAATCTCAGTATTTGACAGAAGGAGAGGAATCAGAGAACTGTGGAAACCTCTCCCTTTACCTTCTCTCCAAGTTTTGGGGTTGGTAAGCTCTCAGTCACCCTTTATCTCTAGGCTCCCCCACTGGTCCATGCATCCTGCATCCTCCTGACTCCTTACGGAAAACGACATGACCTGTTCGATGTTTTTCATCCTCATTTCTGGGGGAAATTGGCATAGAACCAAAGTTCTCATGCGCTTCATTGCTAAAACCAAGGAAAAAGGGCCGAGATGACAATGGGAAAGTTTGATGACACATGAAATTTTAAGTCTCTAAGTAATCACACACTCTAGGAAAAGGGATTCCCCGGTCTCTCCATCTGGCTTCTTTTCTCACTCATCTCGTTCTTATCTTGGAGCTAGCCAAGCCCAGGCTTCCTTCTCAATTTTATTTCCAGCAGCTGCTGAGAGCACTTTCCTGAACCCTCTGGCCTCAGTAGAGGGCGACAGAGCACACAGAGATGATTCGAGAAAGTGAGAAACAGCTGCCCAGGTCTCTGTGGCTGTGGTCTCTGCCCTTCTGTTTCTCCTCCCAATCTGCCAGTTTCACTCTCAATTCTTAACGTTTCTTGTAAGACTTCACTACCACTGGATATATGATAAATAATACATCAGGTCAGTAATAATTTTTTTTACCAGGGATTGAACTCACGACCGCCTGCTTGCTAGGCAGGTGCTTATGCCGCTGAACTAAATCTCCAGCCCAGGTCAGTAATAATTTAATTAAAGTAGTTAAAGCACTGATCTTCAAATAGGGAAGGATCATAATCAGAAAAATCAGAGATGTAATAAAGAGTGGAAATTTAATTATATCAGATGATAAAAGAAGTAGAAGAAAAGAATATTCACCAAAGCTCAGCCTGTGTTAAGAACTGCTTGACAGTTGAACAAAGAAAAGTATCAACAGAGTTGGTTGTATAAAAGCTAGAACTTCTGTATGTATAAAATCAAGATAAATAAATTCGATAATATTCTATACACTAAAGAATATAGCTATATGTATGACAAAGTGTTGAGAGCTCATACAATTTCATTAAAAACATTATGTTTCTCATAAACTAGGTAACAAAGAACACTCATAGAGATATTATGAATAAGGGAATTAAGAGATAGGCCTTTAATTAAATGTACAACTCATGTTGACTGAATAATGCAAACGATAGCAGTGAGGTAACATAGCTTTTGCTCACTAAGTTAGCGGCAACAAAATGGTTTTATGGTAGTATCCAAAGCTAGTGAGGTTGGTTCAGATGGGACTTTTGGTGCACACACTAACATGCTATTGGAAGGTAGCATAACAGAGTATTGCATGGGAATATGTACCAAGAGGCTTACAAATATTCATACTTTGCCAGGCCTGGTATTGTTTGCTTATAATACCAGGAGTTGGGAGGCTGAGGCAGGAGGACTGACTTAAGTTTGAGGCCAGCTTGGGCTATATAGAAAGACCCTGTCTCAACAAAACAAAACAAA